AGCACAGACACACACATACATTGAGCACAGACACACACATTGAGCACAGACAAGAGTTTGAATTGTGTTGCGACGTGAATTTGCCCCGAGCCTCTTAAAGGATGTTGTGATTTAAAAGGTTGCATGCAAAAGTGGTTGTTTGCCAACATGTGGGGTGACAAGAACGCCTGTAAATTTGACTAATTGATAGACCATAAGACTCTTAAAGGGTGAATTGAGGAGTTTGTTTTATTTCGGGGCCACTTGTTATTTCTGTTTCACGCAGAATTCATGATCACCATAAACAGAGCAGAACATTCGAGACGAAGCAGGCTTTTCTTTGAATTCGTGGCAAGATGCCACAGAAGGGGCCTTGAATGTGGGAGACACCTCCGTCGTTTGCAAAACATGACGATAACAATGACTTATCAGTGGTGTCCACGGTGCAAAACACAAGTCGCTTTTACACCGTAGCCAGCCTTAGCTGGCTAAGTGAACAATACAAGATAAAGATCCATACTCTTAGGTTTTTTCGGTAAAGTCACCTAGGTAAAAAAATAATAATTAAATATTAATAAACGGAAATAACTGAATTAAATCAGTGATTTAATTTAGTTAATTTCATTGATTTAATTTAGTTATTTTCATTTATCTTCATTTGAAGCTTTTGTGACTGCAAGGATTCATACTCTTGGGGTTTTTCAGGAATAATAATAAATGAAAATAACTAAATTAAATAATTGATTTAATTAAGTTATTTTCATTTATTTTTATTTTATTGCTATTATTTTTTTACCTTCGTGACTTTACCGAAAAAACCTAAGAGTATGGATCTTTATCTTGTATTGTTCACTTAGCCAGCCAAGGCTGGCTACGGTGTAAAAACGACTTGTGTTTTGCAGTATGAATCCTTGCAAGTCACGAAAGCTTCAAATCAAGATAAAGATCCCCACCCCATAATGCAAGTGTTGTTTGCGAGCACCCAACGAAGACCGGCACGACACACGAGGGGGTGGCGATGTTTACGACACACTGCACCAGGTACTCATTTGAGGCCGAGTCGACCTAGAGGAGACCCAGGACCGGTTCAGATAATCGTCACTGGTGGTGGTGAGCGGGAATCGAACTCGGGTGGCCGGGTCCGTAGTGCAGCGCGCTAACCACGCAACCACATGGGAAAGAATACATCTACCTCCCTTACACAAGTGATTTGACTTCCAACACGTCAAATTCAACTTTGTTTACACTGTACTATAATAGCAATCTATGCACACTGTCTTATCTGCCGTGCTTGGTTAACGACCGAGGAGCAATGTTTTAGCACCAGTGCCAAGCAAAGGAAGCTCTGATTAGTGTGCGGGTACGTGCAGTCATAGGGACTGGTGGCTTCCTTGGTTGTTAAATCTAGATTTGGTTGTTGTCGCTGCAAAACAACAACCGACATTCGCTACTAGCCGACGTCACCACGGCGCCTGTGCCAGGCTAGGTGCACTTTGAGGCAAACGTGAAGTGTCGAAGGCTCGCTGCTGGCCGGAGGTCACGGGGGTCAGACCGAGCAGGTGCCATGGGTTGACTGAATGAGATGAGTGACAAGATGCAACCATCTGTGTCTCCCACCACTCCAATTGTGCCAAACTTGCTGTTCGTTTGTGAGCCGTCGCTCCTTCTGTCCTCCGCTGTTGCTGGAGGGAACAAACAAAAAATGCCTCCCAACTACCGAGCAGTCATTCACGAGCCTCCTCCACAGATGCCGATCTTGACCCCGCTCTGAAACCGGTGAAAATCCAGACAGGTCACCCCCCACTCCCCTCTTGTAAGATGGCCACGAGATGCCTCGCCAAGGGCGCCACCAAAACTGCGTGGCAAGGAAGGGCCCCTTTGAGTGGCAGCAACCGTTGGGGGAGGAAAGAGGGCTTCTAAATTGCAGTGTTTTGTGTTACATAACGTGGGCTCCCTAGGGGGCTCAGCTCTGCTTCTCTCTTCAAGTTACCATAACGACTCGCCCAGATGTGTGTTTGGGACGTGATGTGTTTTTTTCTTCTTCTTTTAAACCGTAGGCTTAGAGGAAATTACGCAAGAGTTATGACAAATCGCAACTGCGAGTGGAAATTAGCGACTGTACTGTGCAGGGAGTGATTGAAGAAGTGAAATTTAAGCTGAGCAGAAGAAACAACACAGGGCAAATTATCTAAATGAGAAAAATGAAACGTTGATTTGGTGATACTGCATTGGCACTAGTGCACAAAAACGAAAATAAAACTCACATTCGTTAATAACACTGCCTTAAAAGGAAACTCATATAAAAGGTGACGTTTCAAGTAATGTCCTTCACCACACATGAAGAAAGGAATCATGTACCGTGAAGAACATTGCCCGAAATGCCACATTATATACCGTAAGGTATAAATACTTTTCTTAAGTATCTATACAACAGGTTCTTTAAACAATTGAAAATATATACGAGGGAAGCAGTCAAGGCGAAGTGATGTAAAAATTTGAACGGAATCATGGAAATGAACATTGTGCCTAGAAAAGAATACCTGCTATGGTATAGCATGCTCTTGAGAGTGTTTGCTATACATTGCCAAATAAGCCACTTCATTGAGCTGTCATCTAGGGCCAGGTAGCTTCTGAAATAGAGCTGAAGAGCTCAGTGTAAACTCAACATACAGCACAACGAAACGGACATTACAATCAGAATATTTCTTTATGCAGGAATCCGATGAGCTCTGAAACTCTTTCTCACAGATGTTCAGTCGGGGCGGGGCAGAACAAAATATAAAAAACACGATCGGAGTGCAAAGCATAGGAAAGGTAATCAATACAATTAACTTAATAAAACATACCGATAAAATATTTGTTTTTATTTTACCAGGTAAAGGCCCAATCAGCTGTTAGCTAATGTTTCAGACTCGGGCCTGGCCACACGCGATACAGGAACGGTACTTGCACCTAACAAACCCACCAAATAATCGTCTCCCTATATTTTAATCCTCGGCAAATCGGAGGCGCCCTTTAAACGAACAGCGACGATTCGGCACCACCCCCACCCCCAGGACTCGAACCCCACCGCCAGCCACAGCAGCTGCAGGAGAAATTGCTTCTGTCTGACGCGGCACAAACACTGCCCCCCACCTCCCAGACAGGGGTTGTGAAAACCACAACCCCTGTCTGTGAAAACCACAACCCCTGTCTGTGAAAACCACAACCCCTGTCTGTGAAAACCACAACCCCTGTTTGTAAAAACCACAACCCCTGTCTGTAAAAACCACAACCCCTGTCTGGTTCGTCCCGCACTGATGACGCCTCCGCTGGGAGGAGACGGCATCGCGGGGCCGCGTCGCCTTGCGGATGAAGAGAAAAGGGAGAATTTTCACGCCGTTTCACCTAAATAGATCTTCTTATTCGTGTTGTTGTTGTTCCCATTTACGGCAGTGCCATTGACGAACGTGTCGAGTTTGTAACTTCGCCGTTCGACACAAGGACGGGCTCGTAATAGCCGCGGCCTAGCAGACCCCGCCGTGCTTATTCGTCCACACTCTCTCGGCTCGTCAACGTAGGCGAAGGACACGGAGGCACGTATTAATGTCGGACTTCTTTCGTGCCGTACGTAGCCAGCCGTGCTGATCGGAGGGCACCTGCAGGACGCGTCGACTCGATGTACGAGTGAGGCTCTTGCGTGCGTGCTCGCCGTGCGAGACAGAGAAGCAGTTGTGTGCGTGTGGTGAGTCTCTCCCCGTCTCTCATGGTTGATCTCACGGCCGCCCAGGGTTTGTTTTTGTTGTATATTGTGTTGTTATTATTATTGTTGTTACATTTGAATATGAAAGTCGCACTCGTAGCGTCCGTGCGCGGTAGAGTAGCGGCCTGCGCGCTGCGCTACGAAGTCGGCCACCCCAGTTCGATTCACGCTCACCGACAACACCAACAATGATGATTATCTGTGACAAGTCTATTGGGCCCTCCCCTAGGGCGACTCAGCCTCAAATAAATACCCGGTGCGATGTGTAAACATCGCCAGTGGAGAGACAAAGGCGGCCGGGCGTGGTGCTGGCCACCCACCGCCCCCCTCGTGTGCCACCGTGCCGGCCTTCATTGGTGCCACTCGCTCACAGCATTTCCCCCCAATAGTCTCTTAACGCTGTGTGCGGGGAGATATTTGTTGTGCACGTCTCGTAGTTACTGTCAGTCGTATCTACCCGCATCTTTATTGGTCCACAGCCCTCCTTTAATAGATCCATTAGCTGGACGAAGGGCCTCTTCTCCACGCACTTGTGGTACATGGGTAGTTGCGGGTCGTCTCGAATATTGGCCAATGATCCGTTAATTTGATATCATTCTACACTGAAACTTAGCTGTGATCGAAAATCAAACTCCGGGTGGTCAATGTCTTATAGCGGTGAGCTGACTTAAAAATAAACGAATAGCTGAATGGGCTTTACCCGGTAAGAAAAAACATAGCTTAGTGGTATTTGTCAGAGGTGGGACAAAGTCATTGTTATGCAAGTCCAAGTCGAGTCTGAAGTCATCAAATTCATGACTCGAGTCTGACTCGAGTCCAAGTCACATGACTCGAGTCCACACCTCTGGTATTTGTTGTATATATTTTAAGTGATTTGTTTACCTTTCCTATACTGTACGTTTCACCCCTATTGTGTTTTTGCATTGTTGTAACGTTCAGACCTGTCCCCTATTGGACATGTGTGAAAAAGAGCTTGATAGCTATTCGGATTCTCCCAGTATAAATACACACTCTGACTGCTGGTCACAGGGCCAGGTTAACCCATGAGGCTAATAAGGCCCTTAATGTCCCTTCGTTGTGTAGACCCTCTCTCTCTAAGACCCTCCCGGGCCACGTTTGAAGCGCTGGAGCAAGCCGACACGGTAGCACGGCCATCGGAAATGTTTTTTTTGAATTGCGATTACACCATTCATGACTTTTCTACAGCTAAATCTAAGGGGGGGGGGGGGGGGGGGGAACGTATTGTTTGAATAAATCGGTGTAGTGATGTATTTTATGTAGTTACCTTGAGTATAAAACATTTGATAATTTGTACGTTGCTAATTAAATGTTGGTGACTTAATTTTGTTTTTTGTAATATGTAATGCATAAGGCCCTCCTATCGGCCGTAGACCACTCATAACCTTTTATCCGGCCCTGACCGCGCCACCCCTCAACTGTATTTTATTAAAGTTTACTTTATTACAGTACAGTTGTTTTTGTTATGATGGGCTTTTACTCTTGTGCAGGGGTTCTCGTCATTAACAGACTTTGATGACAGTGCAGCATAATGAGTGGGTGGAGTGGTGGCGCAGTACTTGCTGCGGCTCTGGAAAACAGGAAATGCCGAGTGATATCTGAAACGGTGATGGGTCTGCATGAGGCCGCACTGACCAGCAATGGTGAAGTACCACCGTGTGGTCATATAACCTCCGCAGCCGACATTGCGTGAGGAGGCATCCATTAGTAATAGGATTAGTGATACCTTTATATCTGGATGAGAGTTCATTGGGACAAAGAATCGTTGAAGCCAGACTTACATTGCCCTGTTATTGCTGCCAGTATTTGTAATTGCATGTTGACTACACAGGAACGTTGAGTAACAACATTTTAATGGAGCCAGAGAAACGTGAATAACGTTGGTAGATTACATGACTAAGCTTGTGTGTATTTTTATGAATTGCCATAGGAAGAGACCATATTCATTTGGAAAGTCCGCAGGAAGCTTTTTGACATCACCATCTTTTACCGAATGGCTTCTAGAAGGTGGCATTTCAGAACTACGTATGTCCGCCCTTCAATTGTCTCTTATTCAAAGCGTAGTGCACTTTTGTATATGATCTGCTGTTGAGGTGTTTGTCGTATTGTAATCAGAGTTTGATAGATGCCACATTAGGCAATAACACATTCAACACTTCAAGTCATGATCATTTTTGTACAATCATTGAAGATGAGACCATAAACTCGCTGGACCTGAGAGGCCCGTTTAAACATGGGTGGCTGCAACCCATATTTGAACTTAGCATCTCGGTAGTGCCAGCTCAGCAAAATAACTCTAGGTTCCTTTTTCCAGGACATCATGGAAAGCCCCATCCGTACGTGGCGGGGGTCCTACTACCTGATATCCAACAAGCGTTGGGTGCCCGGACGCTTCTGCCTCCTGCCCGGGCGCCTATGCTTTTACGCGAACAAGGACAGCACGACGTTGTTCTCCACGCGCCTCGCCGATTTGTGCGAGATAAAGAAGACGACTGTAAGCCTGGTGTATAGTGCCCTGGCCTTGACACACGTGGGTGGCGTTGCCTGCCACTGGCTGTCGGGTCTGGAGCCAAACAGAGATGCCGTCTTCAACGTGCTCGAGCATTTCTGGAGGGAGGAGCTTCTCGGGGGTGGTTCCCAGGCCTCTGCTTCCTCCACAGCGCTGGGACAGCACCTGGTGGCCACGGCCACGGGCTCACAGCGCCGGCTGGAAGAAGCGGCGCAAGCTTTGCACCACCAAGGGCAGCAGCTGGACGGGATCGGGCAGAACCTGCAGAAGATGAACGCTGATCTCTGCATCGCTGATCGGCTTCTAACGCAGCTGGAGGGGCCCTCATTTTTCAGCCGTTGGACTAAAACTTCGGAGGATGGCAGCGAGCGGAGGCATGTCCAGAAAGAAGCATCGGCTGGCCCGGGAGGAGGCCACCAGGATGCAGCCACAGGGCTCATAGTGCGTGTGCCTGTGATGTATTCGCGAGGCCGAGGTACGGAGTTCCATCATGGTCACCTGGCCGTGCTTTGCTCGGCACTGGAGGTCCAGGACGCGGCCGGAAGGCAGGTGCACATGTACCGGCGAAGTGACGTGGACGAGATCGAGGCACTCAGCCCTTACGAAGTCATTGTCAAACAGCGGTTTATTGGGCAGCCTGATGTTGTTTTCCTACTGCTCTCTGCCAAGATAACCAATACCATCCCTGTGCTGGAGCAGCAGTACCGGGAAAAATTCTCTGCATATCCCACTTATCCCTGGGGTCCGGCACCTACTATCAAGAGGAAAACATCTGGACACAAGTTAATTCAAACAGGTTTGTGTGAAATCGACACATTTTGTCAGAAAATATACTTGTTGATTCCAGCAGAAATATGTATATGTATTATATAACTTGCGTTATCACGTAATTACATGATTTTTTTTACCATATAAAGTAATTGGTGGTGCGAGTTTCTTCTCTGGGTGATGGACGAATGCGCTACATACGCTTACATGAGAATACAATACAGTATAAAGTATTTGTTGGTCTTTGGGCACCGCGTGCTTAGCCTCATTGTGTCGTACCACTCTTCACCTTCATTGCAGCTGGCAGGTGGCTGGGTGGCCTCATGGGTGGTGATGATGAAGCCTCAGAAGCTGAAGGAAAAGTTCAGGTGCAGAAAGGGCAGACAGTGAGTGATGCGGAATCAGCCCAGCTGAATCAGGTAAACATGCGAGCCACCTATTAACCCGCTCTCATAAACCTGTGTTATGGCAAAGTGCTGCCCCTAATGTGTATGTTAAAGGTCCCCTGAAGAAATTTCAGAAGCAGTCCTGTGACATCTTATTCAAAGGATGTTTTATGCATTTAACAAACAGTAATGTCGTTTGTTAACTTGATTTAGTTATACACCAAAACCTTGTTCATCGCGGAATTTCCCATTGCGGATTTGACCTTTCGCACCAAATTTATTGAGGTGCAGTTTGCCGAGTGTGCCCCAATGGCTCGACCATTTGCGGTTGAACACAAGTTTCCGATAGTGTGCATCGTAAATAAGTACTGTACTAATTTCCCTCTGCTCGCGATCCCGAGTAAGAATTCACAAGCCATAATCATCATTCATAGTAAGTATTTTTTGTCAAGTATTAAACTGCTTAATATTGACTATACATGTCATTAACCTTTACTTTATATTCGGATTTACTTTTACGTGTACAGTATATTATCGTGCATTATATTAAAACAAACAATTCTAATCATACTTCCCATTTCATGTTTGAGATAATGTGTCATTATGAACTGTGAACCAAACCCTATTTTTCTCATATGCCTTTCAGTTTGCGGATCGCGGATTTGCAGATTGCAGATATTTGCAAGAATGTAACCCCCGCGACAGCCAAAGTTTTGGTGTAAAAATGTTAAATTTACATATGAAGGGTGTGCCATTTCATTCACATTAACAGTCGGAGTGGCTCATCTCACGAACATTTTGAGAGGGTGTAAGGCGTTTTGAATGAAATTCTAAATGTAGCCAATGACAGTGATTGACATCCTCAACTCGGCTGCGCCAGGTGCTGACAGGCATCAAGGTACTGGCACTTGAGTCGGGCGCGGAGGTGGAGCGACAGAATGAACTTCTGGAGGACACGAGCTCGCTGGTGGACCGCACCACCTCGCGCATCAATGCAGCGGATCGCCGAATCAAGAAGCTACTGTGAAAGGATGCGCCACATGGCCCATCTCTTGATTTAATCATCGGCATCATTTAAATATTTCACGTGCTTTGTTGCGCCAGTAAAAATTCTCCATACTTGCGGAAAATCCTGTGCTTTTGAATGACGTCCTTTTTTAACAGATGCCGTCTCACCATTTTTTGGTACTGTGTAGAATTACTGAACGGTTTTGGGATTGGTATTTAACTTTTGCACTTTGAAAAGTATTATTCACTTTAATTCAGGAGACTTGAAGTTATCAGGTAGCGTAGTTCAATGGGGGTTTGTTTGTGTCTCCCCTAACGTAACCACATATATGGTCGTTGTGTGGCCTGGTAATGTGTGTGGCTTCTTTCAAACCCACTTAAATTGATGATGCTATGATAGCACTATAGGGCTAATATTCATTGAGTGATAAAACTGCCAAAATACATAACCTTGGTGCTTTTCCAATATCGCTGGATTTATTCTCGAACACACCAGTTGGCTGAAGTAGTAACTAATTAGCGTTTTGTTTACATGACAAATCCCTTACTAATTGGCTGTGTCAGGTGGTGGAGGGTTACGACACATTCATACTTACGCGATCTAACAACAACCTTCATTGTGAATTGCTGTTTATGTGACCATGGGCACATGAAGCAAAACAACGAAAATGACTTCAGCAACAAGTGAATCAGGCCTATAATGTATTATCGTCAATATTTTTTTTTTACCGTCAAAAGTTAACAGGAGTATTGATGCATCAATTTTGAAGATCGCTATATTAATCGAATCGTGCATATACGTGTTTTTGTATGACTATATGGGTTAATGTGACCCCTCCAACCATCACCTTCTGAAACATTCACCACATTGTTAACATTTATTTTTTGAGGTAGTGAAGTGGCTCAGGTTGGCCCTGCTGAGTTTCTGGGTTTGAATCTGGGCAGCCAGTCATAGGTTGATGGTCTCAGTCTGGCTATTTAATAACTGCACTAATAAAACACATTTTCATTGGTTTTGCCTTTCATTTGGGCTAACATCTAGTCCTGAAAATGAAATAATATCAGCTCTAATCTCATGCAATGATTACACTATGTAACACAATTTTTGTTCCTGGGTCGTAAGTGTTATTTCGTAATTGATTTTGCCTAAAAAGTAGAGAAAATGGCTATTATTCTCAACAAACTTTGCTTTTGTGATCAGGACAGTCATACTTTGAAATTGACTTATTATCAATGAGAAAACGGGCGAATTTGTGTCTTTTCGTTCACATAAAGTCAGAAAAAACAACATGAATCAAAATTAACATGTAATTATACTAAAGTAATACAAAAATGACGACAAAAGATTTAGAAGTGACTAGTTATTCGAGATTGTTCCTCCCCACAGAGAACTCGGTCCGCTGTGGCCAGTCTCGCCTGTGGTAGTGCGCCTTGGTGTCTACATCTTTTGTAGTAAAATTTGTATTACTTTAGTATAAATAAATGTTAATTTTTAATCATGTTGGTTTTTTTCTGAATTAATGTGAGCGAAAAGACAAATTCGCCCGTTTTCTCATTGAAAACAGGTACATTTCAAAATATCATTGTCCTGGTCACAAAAGCAAAGTTTGTGGGGAATAATAGCCATTTTCTGTACTTTTGAGGCATGAGCAATTAGGAAATAACACTACCCAGGAACAACAACAAATGGTGACACTTAATTTCGCTCAAGCAGGGCAGGTGGGGAAGTGTTGCCCTCTAGTGAAGCTACGGGGTAACTTAAGAGATTTCAAGAGCAGGTCACAGTGATTCGTTTTTACATGTTCATTAAAATCTCCTGCAATGGTTTGAATGGTTCTCCATCGCATGACATGATGCCTATAGTTCAATGGGGATACAATTGAGCCAACAAATGTGTATTTCAAAACCTGAAAATAAGTGCAAACACAATATTGGACATATTGGCTTTTAGATAACATCAAAAACGTCATAACCTTGAAATGTTACAAAATCTAACCGCCGCTTGCCGGGATACGAACTGCAAGGTCCTTGTGCCACGCAAATTGAGTCTCCGTGTGTCCCGTGACTCCTCCACACCGAAGCACAACGAGGGGGCGCTAGAGGTTAAGCAAACGGGGCCCTCGGTATCGTCGTGCATGCCATAGTCGTGAACTGAACGTGTTCAGTACCAGTATTCATTTACTGTATAAGCAAACAAGTCTTGTAACCATGTTAGAGCATGTCATTGGTCGACAATACTATGTAAAAAATGGAACGTGTATTCATGCGTATGTAAATGACATCTGTTTTATATCCTGAACTTAAAAATCCCTGTCCATATATGTATTGATAAAGAGGTGTAATTATTTAAACTGACGGTGCAATGTGACATGCGTTTGTATTTTAAATACAGGTTCAGCATTGATGCAAACTATCTTTTGGAATGAAAACCTTCAATTTGCTGCAAAAATGGAGTTAACTAATCTTGAATTTGTAAGAAGTTGCGGTAATTATAAATGTCATGGGTGACAGGTAAGGCACTGCCCATGATGATCGGTAAAAAAAAAATGGTGCAGTGGAAATACAAAAGAAATACCATTTTATTTAATACACTGTTGTTTGTAATGCCTCGTCATTTATATTATGTATTCCATTTGCAAGTGTTTTATTTCCAAATAAATTTTACATATTGTGTGATAGTTTGGATTTTGTTATCACTAAAGCTAGCTGTGTTGACCTGTGGCATCCAGAATGAGTTCATGTTCCAGCATGGGGTTAACTTAATAGACGATTCCATTATCATCAATACAAATAAATACCACTCGGTGTGAAACGCACACTGGTGTTCTTCATTTGTCTTTTTAAATCCTTTATATTAAGTTTGCTTGCTTGCTTGCGCGCTTACGACCGTGCAAATCTTTCGGTCGTTTTTTAACCCACTTCCCATGATCCAATCGAGCTGACATTTTGCACACAGACTCGTTGTGCGTGACAATTTATTTTCTTGAAAATATTTTTCCATAACTTTAAACTTTTTAGGAAATTTGTTTTTATATTAATTACCAATTGCTTAATGGTGGCAGGCAATCATCTGACCCATAGGTGGCAGCCATCTCAAGCCAGAGGACGAGAGGACTCGAGCCGCCACGCATATAAAGGATTTATAGTGAAAAACTTTGTTTTTACGGGTTAATCTTTTTAAATCCTTTATATTAAGTTCACTTGCTTGCTTGCGCGCTTACGACCGTGCAAATCTTTCGGTCGTTTTTTTAACCCACTTCCCGTGATCCAATCGAGCTGACATTTTGCACACAGACTCGTTGTGCGTGACAATTTATTTTCGTGAAATTTTTTTTCCTAAATTTTCCACTTTTTAGGGAATTTTTTTTTCATATTTAATTTAAAATACCAATGTGATAAAAATGAAACTCTTACTCAAGAAAAACAAATGAATAATAAAATAAAACCGATGCCACGCATATAAAGGATTTATAGTGAAAAACTTTGTTTTTACAGGTTAATTTTTTACTTCCCCATATTTTTTTTATCTCAATTGTGCTATCGTCATGCGGAGATGAATAATCAATTTAAATCTCGCCTCCTACTGACGAACCAATCCTCAATTGCAGGTCACGTGCCTAGTTACTTTGTACCCACAACTCCATGTGGTACTGGAGGTCCCCTTTCAAATATGTTGAGATGAGATGTTACGCGCTCTGGGATGCCCCGGTGTTATAGGGTGGTATATGAAAGACATCGCTATCACCTTTAAGAGCAGCAGCACCCTTTGAAGTGAGAGAATGCACTACAGAAGTGGATACAACATCTTTAAACCACTCGCAATCTGACAAAAGTTCAACTATTAAAACATTACCAGGTAGTTGCTTACAAACGTGACCACCTGACTATGCATCTATACAGGTTCTTACTTTTTTTGTACAGCTCAAGTCTCATAGGGGCAGGGAGACACTGACAAAGTGAATGTGTATGGTGAGCAAACGAGCTAGTTGCTTAATAAGTAGATGTCAGTGTTTTCGCAACGACTTATTTCTGCTAAAAGACAACTACATAGTGTTTCCAATCGACTCCACCGCTCCTGTGGTGGACGTGTCCACAGCATGCCCGCAGGGACAACGGGAGATCGTGAGCCGAGAAAATTAAATGCGACTTGGCCGGGCGTTGACAAATAATAGCCTATGTAAAACGAATTTAACTGGCGGTAGTCAAAGCACTTGGGTTTTGAGCCTCCAGGCCTCCCAAACATTAGTTTGGGGCTACTGCTGTTGACACTGATAAAGGGTGGTGACTACATCAATGTCACTGCTCAGTGAATGGGAGGTCTTTTAAAATTTTAAAAGAAAATGTTACAGCATTGCATTTATTAAAATGCACGCACCTCTTGTATGGTGCATGCTTTCTTGAGACGTCTCGTCAGTTTGCTGTGGAAGTGTGATCACTGACAATGTCAGATGCCATCAAATTATCCTGCCAAGGGGAGCCAGGTTTCAGCATTTCATGCTTCGGCAAATTCTGAAATAATAAGCAATGAAGAAACTTCACCCGTATTTAATGAACACTGACAATGCTGTACAACTTTGCGATGCTAGCTCTATACAACTCTTGCCTTGATTCCATCCAGGTGTGTCCAATCTCATCTTCCCAGGTCTCTCGCCTCACGCCAGCTCCACCTTCGCAACCAGCATCGCTCCACGTGATCTCTCCCCACGTCTCCATTCCCCGTGCACAGAGCTCGCCAGCCCGATCAGATCTCTTCCTCCCAAGATCTCCCCATCACGAACGCGCATTCCTCTAATATACCTTTCACAAATTCTTCGTTCACCCCTCTTGTCCATTTTTTCTACAAATAATTAATTAATTTCATGATGAACCATTAGTATTTCCTGTTCGCCAGACGAGTCAGAAATACATTTGCCTCCATGATGCCTGATAAAAAAAAAAGATGTGTATTTGTTTCTCTCAAAATCCATATCGGCCAATTAACCCGTGATAGATCCCTACTATTTGAAAGGGTAACACAGTTGTTAGATCCCCAACTCACGATCAGGAGGGTACGAGTTCAACTCCTGGTCGTTAGTCTACTCAGTACTGTACTTCATCTCACCAGGTTGGATAACATTTGCACCATTGTGGGAGATTTCACCGGTGATAAAGATAGTTCCACTCGTCATGGGAGTGTGTGGCGTTCCCTCCAGGAAAGGCACGTGTGAGCAGAAAAGGACCCTGGGAGATTGATTTGTCTTTGAGTGTATTGTCCCTTTTATCGTTATTTTCTTCAATTTATTGAGGATTATAATCACGAGATAAGGTAATAATGTACACAATAGTGACTTCTACACAGAACAATGTGCGATTGTGACAACTGGATCGGTCCTCCTGCCGTGCTGCACTCATGATTCGTATCAACTGTTTTGGATTCGTATCAACTGTTTTCCCAACCTCACGATGTAGCGTTTCATCATCATTGACATTCCAGCACCATCATAGTCACAGCATCGTAATAGCAGCATCACAGCACCATCATTCCACCAGCATATTTGCATCCTCGTCATCTTCATTCCTATCTTAACAGGTCCATCATGCCCGAATCGTAGCAGTGTCTGCATCATCATCAATCATACAACAAGATCCATTGTCACAGCGCCACCATGATCCCAGCAGCATCACAACGGCACCACCCATCTCAGCCAGCTCTATCCCTACAGCGCCACCATCATCCCTGCAGCATCACAACGGCACCACCCATCTCAGCCAGCTCCATCCTTACAGCGCCACCATCATCCCAGCAGCATCACAACGGCACCACCCATCTCAGCCACCTCCATTCTTACAGCGCCACCATCATCCCAGCAGCATCACAACGGCACCACCCATCTCAGCCACCTCCATTCTTACAGCGCCACCATCATCCCAGCAGCATCACAACGGCACCACCCATCTCAGCCAGCTCCATCCTTACAGCGCCACCATCATCCCAGCAGCATCACAACGGCACCACCCATCTCAGCCAGCTCCATCCTTACAGCGCCACCATCATCCCTGCAGCATCACAACGGCACCACCCATCTCAGCCACCTCCATTCTTACAGCGCCACCATCATCCCAGCAGCATCACAACGGCACCACCCATCTCAGCCACCTCCATCCTTACAGCGCCACCATCGTCCCAGCAGCATCACAACGGCACCACCCATCTCAGCCAGCTCCATCCTTAGAGCGCCACCATCATCCCTGCAGCATCACAACGGCACCACACATCTCAGCCAGCTCCATCCTTACAGCGCCACCATCAAACGCCGGACCAGGCAACTGCCGCAGTGCCGAGCCGCGTGCGACATCCGCCGAGTCGGATGTTGTCGTGGTGACGCTGGGGATTTTTTGCGCGATAGCCGACTCGTTGGCAAAGCATTCCGGCTGCTTGCTTGCTTGCTGCTACTGCTGTTGTCACACGCCGTGAACCGCGGCCGAAGAGCACGCGAGATGGGGCTCGGGCGAGGGTCAGGGTGGGAGGGAACGACAACAACAGCCACCGGCAAACACCATCGCTGCCGAAGGCTACCAAACCACACCATTTGGCCGTTCCAGTCCCGGTAGTTTCAGGAAGGTTGTCCCCGTGTCCTACCACCCAAAGGATTTTCTATGAATTGAGATTTTCGTGAGTTTGTTATGGAATGTGTTTGTCGACATGCGGGCTCTGCACGGTTGGCGACGTTTGGTCAATTTTTCACTTACAGGAGTGTCTTACGCGTGGGAGGACAGCGGAGCACCCAGAGAATAGTTGTAACATTATCCTTTGTGTTATGAGACGGCTATAAACTACAGTCGTGTGTTGTTGCTGTAATTACGACAAATTATAATTGATAGTCTTGCGTCGATGAAAAAAAAACACGTGTTACGGGATAACGCGTGCGGTTCATCACAGATGGGCTCACGAACCCACTTGCTCTACCATCGCTTCCGTGACACCTCGCAGTCCAGGAGGGTTGGAAGCGTCGCACATCTACGTGATCCAACTACTTTGAAATGTAACGATCATTAGATTGAAATCGATTCTTACGAGACGTGCGTTGAATCGTGCGCATAACAGTCAATGATGGTATGTTTCGATTTAAAGCTTTCGTGACTGCAGGGATTCATCTTCTTGATTCTTTTGGTAAAGTCACGTAGAATGGAAATAATAAAATAATAAAATATTTTATCATGTTTTATTTTATTATTTTATTATTTCCGTTCTACGTGACTTTACCGAAAAAACCAAGAAGATGGTATGTTTATTAAATGTTAGAACGAATTCGGTAGCTTGGTGGGTGGGGAGCAGAGGTGGCTTCATCTAGCAGTGGATCGACCTTCGCTGCTCCTGATGATGATAATAATTGCACGTGAATCGAACACAACGGTTTCTTTGAGAAACAGGGACGGAACAACGGAGCAACGAGACAAATGAAAACAAGACGATGCAATCGACTCGTACAATCGACTTGTGAACTCGATCAATCATCACCCCTATGGGCAGCAAACGCACTGGGGGCTCAGACCATGAATGCGGCTTGCACCGAGACTCCTCGCCTGGCTCCACCCCCAGCCTGATCCTTTCCACACACGTGGACTTGTCCAAGCTGCCGAGATTCCATCAACATCTTGACTGGAGAGAGCTTCAGGGGGGTTGCCCCCCACCCTCTCCCCCCCTCATTTGCTACCCCCCCCCCCTCCCAAAAAAAATCGCCAATTTTGCCTCGCATATTTGGCGAGGCGAAAATACCACGCATCGGCGGACGCAGACTACACAATCTTGTCATCATCTCAAATTCTGATCATTTTGTCTTTGAAAACAAAAGTGGCCCTCGCTGCATTAAGAGGTCACGCGCGCCTCGCTGCGCCCGTAGCCGCGCCAGAAGGCCACGCACGGTGTGGGTTGTCGCCACTCTCACGCAGTGCCGGATGAAGCTAGTGCGGGGCATGTAGCATATGTTATAAAGGGGCCCTAAATTTATTAAAAAATGTATATATATATATAAAGACACTATTTTTTTACCTGCAGCCAGATAATACGACAAATCGCCAACCTTAAACACCCAATCGTTCATAAAAATTGAAGGCAGTATAGTAAATTTCGATTTAAAGCTTTCGTGACTGCAGGGATTCATCTTCTTGGTTCTTTCGGTAAAGTCACGTAGAAGGGAAGTAATAAAATAATAAAAATAAAACATAATACAATAATTCTCACGACGTTTCGGCCACAACACAAGCAGCCGTCCTCAGGTGAAGACCAGGTCTGTCGGGGAGACAACGTCTGAATGCAGTACATAGTACTATAGTAATAGAGCAAGTGCAGAATCACTGAACCGGATATTGATAGCTTGAAAGCATTTAGCGCGGGCCCCTTGAAAGTGCGAGGCCCGGAGCATGCGTGGCTACTTTTACTACGAGGATCATCGGCACTGCTCTCCTGTTCGTGTTTTCGGGTCGTACTATCGCGTGTTGTTCGACACGACGTCCCGCGATTTAGCGGCTGTGGTTTCGCAGCATCGAGCGCAATGCAACAAAAGTGGTCCAAATTTATAATTCGCACTTAGCAGGCCGATGCCTGCTTCACCTTTGTGCTACCCAGGGACATCTGCAATCAGGGAGGGGCACATAGGCTAATAAAAAGAAAAACTACATTGACATGAGATGTGATGTACTTTTGAGATGCTGGGGCATTTCATCGCCCAATAGATAGCAATCAATTCTCCGTGTGCATCAACAAAAGAACGCTCTGCAAATTAAGTGCAACAACAGAGCCTCGCGTGATTTCACGCAGTCGGCTCCAGCCTGAGACTCAGTGGAGCGGATGAGAAGTGACATCTCAACAACAGCGACTAAGTATGGGAGCAGACGCAGTGCACACCGCCACACGCCACGGGCTAGCAGTGCTCGGGCAGGAATTAGGTGAATAATTTCCAATGGAGTCGTCAATGCGAGAGAAAACCGGCAATTTGCACAAAATTGCACAGTTGCGCCCCTTTCCCACGCGCGCGGGGATGCGTGGCTTCGAGGGCGGGCAGGTTCTACCTGGTTCAACCCCCAATCTGGTACAAGAACAATAGCTGCCATTCGCCACTAAGTGACGGTGATATCACCGCAGCGCAGTTGCCAGACCAGATGCATATTGAGATGCCACGTGAAGCGTCGATGGTTCGATAGCAAGAGGTCACAGGACGAACCCATTTGTTATAGGTTGACTCGCTGAGATGATTGACAGATGCACCACCTGTGCTCCCCGCTGTGCCAGCTTGTTTTATTTTAGCCACCCGGTGCTCCGCTCATTGTTGTGGGTGTCGCTACTCCATCATCGATTGTTGTTGGAGAGCGACTGCCTCTAACTGCCCAGGAACGTCTTTCACGAATCATCTCGGCAGAGGTCAATCGTGATATCGCCTGTGCCAGTCATCAGCTCCAAATCCTCCTGTACCACATCAGCCCATCTTTTCTCTAGCCCATGCCGTGTCCATTTAGCACCCTCAATCTGCCAAACACAAGCTGCTTGCGCACGCGGTGGCTAGGCATGCGGGCTCCATTACCCTAGCCAACGTAGCCTTACTTACCGGATAGCTCACTGATGGGACGCTGTCCAGATCTTCCAAAGATCTGTAAGTTCCTTACAAATTACAGCCTGGATAATCCTAGTTTGGATCGTAGGCAGGTGACTTCCACACACTGTTAACTAACCGATGGACAATGGGTGGTGGGGGGGGGCACGTCCAGAGCATTCTTTAAATATTGCGGAACATGCCCTGTGGTCCAGACAGTTGTCATAATGGAATATAGGGCAACCTGCCCATGATTGATACCCTCCGTGAGCAGTTGGCTTGGGAGGTTATCTTTGCCCGGTACTTTACCTGGTCTCAGGCTCTCGATTGCTCTTCGCACGTCCTCAACAGATGGCACATCAGTCAGCCACTCACAGGAGGTGGCACCACCTCCTCCAATATTTGAGGCACTGGCACCCCAGCAGGATCAAACCCACCTTGCCCGATGTTTTTTTTATCTAAACTGAGGAGTTTCCCCTCCCCCAAGACCTCACAGAAATGTTCAGCAAATCTGCAAACCTGTTTTTGGGGGTCAGAGATCGGATCACCACTATTTCACTTTAGTGTGGTAATGGGTGTGGCACTCCATGATATTTTTGATGGAATTGAAAAAAAAAGTGATTTGCGATTGCGAGCTGCTTAGGCAATTTCCATCTTTTCACCAACTCGCGACAACCATTTATCCTTGCAGGACCAGATGGCTCTCGAAACCTCTGCACGAAGGCTGCGGTAAGCCTCCTCATTCTCGAACATGGGATGTTCTAAATGGATGGGAGTTGGCCTGTCTCTTTTACTCAGCTTGCCATAACACCTCCTCCCTTAGACAGTGTTTCTGGGAAAGTCTGGACTGCATACCCAATGCAGCCAATGCAGCTGCATGAGCTACTTTTTTAAACCTCGCCAATTTCCCTTTGGCGTCAGGAAAAGGGGTGGGGGGGGGGGGACAATGCCAACCCCAGCTGCAAGCGATGATGAAGTTCTCGCCTGCAAACCCACACTCTCACACAGAGACAAAGAACCACCGTATAGCCTTCACAGATTGTTGGAGAAAGTGCTACTAGCAAGCACCTTTGAAGGCCAGCAAGCACATGAGGGGGTGGGTTGCAAACACCAGGCCCAGCCGCCTTTGTCTCTCGAGTGGCGATGTGTAAACACTGCACTCAGTACTCATTTGGAACTGAGTCGACCTAGGGGTGGCCCTGGACTGGTTTAAATAATCGTCACTGGTGTTGGCCGTGAGCAGGAATCAAACTCGGGTCGCTGGGTTCGTAGCGCAGTTGCGCTAACCACTACACTCCTAATCCCCACACACTCTCACACATGCTCACTCTCACAAACGCCCCCACACATTCTCACACAAACATTGACATGTATCAGAAAAAAAGTTTAAACTCACCAAAGTTCTCTTGTTAGTCGATCGACAGGTGGCGTGTGGTGAGATAAAGAGTTCGTACTCCCATCTCTTACGAGACATCAGAGTGAAGGAGTAGACAACATACCCAGTCGAGGGAATTTCTAAAGCTCTCTTTAGTGGAGGCCCAACTGCCAGCAGTGGCTTGAGCAAGCAATTGCAGGGCTGCCCCTTTACCTCTTACCAGAACATCTGCTTGAAATCGCTTGGCTCTGTATGTCTATGTCTACTGTTTACCCAGCTCGCACGTGAGAAAAGAAAATTGTAGCCTCAATTGGTTCTCACCTGGTGAAATGAAGTCAATGGCGATGATGATGGGTCAGCCAAACTCAAGCGACGGAGGGTGAATCTGAGCAGCAGCGTCGTCATCATCAGACAGGATGAATTCACTGCTGTATGAAGTACTCTCCAAACGGCCGTTTTCCCTAAATGTGGTCCAAGAGCCCTGGTCACAAACGCCTCATTTCCACGGTCACTGTGAATCGGGCTCATTGCGAAGGGTCCAAGAACGGCCCAGTCCCGGCCCAGAATCAGCACGAGGGCCCGGATCCGGTCAGATCATGGATACGTCAAACGTAAGCCGAGCGTGTGGTGGTGGTGGCGGCACACGCCTACAACCACACAGGGCGTCGGTGGCGGGGTTGGTGAGTCACGAAGAGAGCACATGCCGCCAGAATCCTAACTTGGGGTGGGCAGTAGGTGGCAGTGCAGCGACTGGGTTGTCGCCGTGATTGCGTCATGGATCGTTGGAGTGTCATTCCATTCGTCTACGTGGAGATGTTTCTAGACACGCGTTTCCTCCCCCACGCAGAACCTTCCCCTGACTGTGACCCATGCACCCTTGAAATAAAAGAGACGTTTGGTCTCAGTCGAGGTCTCGCCTTTTATAAAGTACACGTGCTGTGAAGAAGGGCCAGAGCCCTGCAACATGACCAGTGATACATTATTACATTATAAGGCAGTGAGCTTGACGAATGTGGTTGAGATTTGTTTGTTGTTGTTCTTGTTGTTGTTAAAATACACACGGTAAATAACAATTGCAACTTGTAACGCGCCGCCCCCAAAGTGTTCACTCACTGTCGAAAAGCGAGAAAGCGACTCAGAGGAGCGCAGAGGAGCCACAGACAAGCAGCAAGGCAGCGGCCGCGCAGCGACGTGCCGCCAACATTGTCCCAAGCTCTGCGGTCCGCTATATATTAAGATGTTTTCAGTCAATTCATGATTGTTTTATGTACTGTGTGAAGTAGCATGCCGATGCTGAACTATTCTTGAGACTCGCAGAGATTTCCGTGGACTAATAAAGGATCTATGACAAAAAATACGGACACACATTTCCAAAAGGCCACAAGCCTTGGTAGGATTTTAATGGTCATTTACCGGATAAACCAAGGTTATTGAGAGACAGCCATAAGTAAAGCAATAGGTGGAAAAGTGGAAACCTGCTGTGAGAGAGCATACGCATAACTCTCGAGAAAGGTTATGTACCAAAGCATACATGGGGGTTGGAAATAAATCCAGGAACCACAGAAAACGGCACAGAAACACAATGCGAGTCAACATTAGTTCAACAGTAGCACGCAAAGTAGTGCACTCAACAAGGATCAACGTTAGAATGATCACGCCGGACTGATCGTGGGGCCGATCGCACAGCCCAGCGAGATGATTTGAGAACAGCAGACTGCCGTAGAGGGCGATAACTCGCGACCTACAGTACGTGCTGCCCGATGCATTCGCATTTCCTTCATTGCTTGTGCTGTTATTTGTTTTTCTTTTGTCATTTTGATGACCCAGGTCACTCTTGCAAATGAGACTCATTCTGGTCTCTTGAGTTCTCACCTCCTGGTTAAACAAATAAACTTGACTTGACTTGAACAGAACAAATATTGGATTACTGTTAAAACGGTTTAGCACGTGTTCCTACCCACGCACTCACCCGATCTCCCACCTACTCACCCACTCGCTCACCCACCTATTCACTCACCCACTTGTGGACTCACTGGCTCGCCCATCCACTCAACCACCCACTCACTCATGCACTCACTCACCGACCCACAATCTACTTACCCACACACTCACTCATTCACTTACTGACTCACCCACTCACCCGTTCACTCGCTCGACCAATCAATCACTCACTCGCCCTCTATCTCAACTTCTCGCTCACGCACTTACTCACTCAACCACCCAATATTCACTCACCCACCCAATCACTCACCACCCACTCAACCGCCCGCCCACCCATCAACTCACGCACACGCGCAACGGACGCACTCACTCAATCACTCGTCCACTCACTCGCCCACCCATCTACTCACCCACTCGCCTGTCCACCCACGCACCCACCCATCTACTCACCTACTCGCCTGTCCACCCACGCACCCACCCACCCACGCACGTTTTCGCTCTTCCACGTGAGCGGGTGGAGATGTCCCCGGTCGGGGCAACCTGATGCTGCTCCTCGCCGAATGTTGACTCACGAGACAAACTCGCTGCATGGCCCCCAGCCCTGGGGACCCAATTCCCCACCGCCTCCACCACCGCTGCCTTTTTGCATTCGTTCGGTTCCCGCCCTCAGCTCGCAACAGCCGTCACCGTGCCCGTTTGTCATCAGCCATCATCACCTGGAGTCTTTCACTTCAAAGGCGACGTCCGCCTGTTGCCTCGAACAGCTGTCCGCGGAGCTGTGATTATGTCCGCGTGATCCCCGTATTCGCGCCCTATAATCTGTTAGTGGGAAGTGGTGAAAGTCCGCATGAAAGAAAAAAACAGACAGGCGGACGTTATAAAGAACGACTACATCTCAATGATTTTTACGCTGGTTACAACAACCCACCCCCTCCTCCTCCTCGCACACGCAACCCTCGACAACAGCCAGACAGCTCAACACTTTCAAGTGTAGTGCTTCTGCGCCACCCGTGAGATGTATATCGTATTAACAACAACAAAAAAACACTATCCCCAAAAAGATTGGACGTGCGAAAACGTGTTTGACCACTGCATGCGGAGCAGGCTGTGACTTCGGTAAATATATGTGCTGCCAATCTACGTCCGAGAAATTAGTGGCTTTAGAGAGCCTAGACCAGGGGCGAAATAGCACGAGCGCATTCACCGCACCGGGTTCCGCGCTTTTTTTTTGCAAGACCCCCGGCTTAACGAGAGAAATGACAGCTCGCCTCTCCTCTCTCTCTCTCTCCATCGCGCATTATCTCATTACGCGCGCCCTGATCGCTTCATTTCGTGGTAAGCGCCACGCTGCTCATTGCTAACCACGCGATTCGTGACAGCGCCTGACGGCAGAGCACGCGGCGTCTCTCGCGTGCCGCCACCTGGCAGCCGTGGCCGTGACTGCAACTCAGGTGGTCACGTGGCAGGGCTCTGTGCCGCTAACGACTGCCGCCACCCTGTTATGTTTCTTTCGCCAATTCCACACCAATCGCGCTGCTTTAAGCGCCGCGTGGCGACGACACGAAACGGAAGAATGTGCGATTTGAACCCTTGCAGTGAGCAGTGGATCACCTTGTGTGAGAGCACGGCGGCCCGGGACAATGATGGCGCATTGCTAATTTTAATTGCTCTAATCGCACTCCCGGGACACGCCTCTTATATGCAAAAAGCGTTCGTTTTTATCGATACAACTGATAAACATATACACACATTGCATTATTTTACTATGAATAGATGAAGAATGTTACTGGCACTCTCAGAGCTGGACAAATCCGAATTACGGTAAACTCCAAATTTCATATTTGTGTTTGTGTGTGTGCACGCTTATTGGTGAACGGGCTGAGACGAGAAATTGTCCACGCCCGAGAGGCCGATCTAATCACGGGTTACTCTTTGGTTCTTTCGGTAAAGTCACGTATAAAGATACAATAATAAATCAAATCCTAGCATACGACGTTTCGATTGCAACACAAGCAATCATCATCAGGTATAAATGAAATAGAAAACACAAATCTAGTATACGTAGAAATGTAATGTAATACAACAGAGAGACGGATAACATTTTTATCTTTATACGTGACTTTACCGAAAGAACCAAAGAGTAATTCCTGCAGTCACGAAAGCTCCAAATTAAGTTTCTAATCACGGGTGACTGAAAGCTGCATTCGAACCTCGGCGGTCAGAAGAGACGTTTCTGTGCCTCGACACGGCCATGATAACCCCCCAGAGTCACCGCACCACGTTTCTGTTCTTAGCTTGACAAGCAAACATATTGTAAGGCCGAGTCTGATGATGATGTACACTTTCTCCAAACGTATTCACAACAACGTGATGTATTCTGTGAACGGTATGTGTTCATTCACTGTGTATGTCTTTGCGTCTATCTGTGGGTGTATGTCTCTCCATGCGGTTTTGTGTCTGTCTGTGTTGCCCGTACCTCCCACGGTGGGCTACGTACGGTGTGAAATAAGTTCGACATACATACACACGGCTCTAAATGTACAATCCTCAGCCCATACACACACGCTGTGTGAGAACACATGGAGTGAATCAACCTCAACGATAAAAACTACGTTTTTATGCCCATTAGCCTCACAGATTTAAGTCAATCAGCGGATTAACATTTCTTCTTAAACTCTTGACTTTTCGTTGAGCGCCGGCATCGGCCCGTCCTGACATCAGTCGGCGGATTACCTCTGTGTATGGAACTCATCAGCAGTGCATTGCTGAGGAGCCTCAAAAAGTCGAAACCTGTGAAGAATTTGCCTAAACGCGGAGGCAAAAACCGGAGGACCCGGAGAAAAAAAAATCCACACGACCACTGGAAAAGAGACACCGCAATCTTTAATAAGTATAACCCGTAAAAACAAAGTTTTTCACTCTAAATCCTTTATATGCGTGGCGGCTAGAGTCCCTCTCGTCCTCTGGCTTGAGATGGCTGCCACCTATGGGTCAGATGATTGCATTGCACCATTAAGCAATTGGTAATTAAATATAATATTTTTGTCCTAAAAAGTGTAAAATTTTGGAAAAAAAATTTCACGAACATTAATTGTCACGCACAACGAGTCTGTGTGGAAAATGTCAGCTCGATTGGATCACGGGAAGTGGGTTAAAAAACGACCGAAAGATTTGCATGGTCCTAAGCAAGCACGCGAACTTAATATAAAGGATTTAAAAAGACACGCGTCAGTGTCGGGATCCAACCCACGACCTCCTGTATACCAGGCGAGGTAGTCAACGTTAACGTTTAGACACAACCTGCTGGTCTGAAACAAGCTGGATATTTCATCTATGTGTGTGTAGCTGCACCTTCTAGATGGGCGCTATAGAGCCCCCTCCAGTAGAGGCTCTTCCACCAGCGGTCGCCTTTTCCTTTGGAGTCGGCCAAATATCCCAACATAGGATCCCAGAGCTTGGGCAGATGTTACTCTCGGCTCTTCTGGCTGCCTCTCTGCTCGTCTGTGGTTTCCCGCGCCTCAAGGGAAAAGCTGCGTGCTTTATGCGTTTTGCGGGCTTTAGAGATGCGAGTTACATGAATGACTCCAATAAAACAATTATATATTTCAAAAACCTTCACATCACATATGGATGGATGGAGTCGGTGGCTTAGTGGTAAATGGACTGCTCTACCCGGTGACCCGAGTTTAATCCGTGGCCACGGCTAACACCAGCAGCGAGAAATATCAGAACCATTGATGCAGCCTGCCCCCCCCCCCCTCACTCCCTTTACTTCACCGTGGTGAAGTATGGTCAAATGACCTCTGCGGTCGTGGCGTGGGTAGGCTTTCATCCAGTAGTGGATTGACAAAATAAACTGTGCATAATTGTATTTGTTTTGTACGTACGTATGAATGTGTGTGTGTGTTCAGCTGTAAAGGTCGCGACCTTTATATGGGTGCTCCGTACAACCTGAACTCAAACAGACGCCAAATCCCTGCAGCCGGAGCAGGTGTCTTCCCGTACGCTATCTAAACAAAGACAAAGATCCCCCGTGTAGCCTTTACAGACTGTTAGGGGCAAGTGCTGTTAGCGAGCACCTATAAAGGCCGGCACGGCACACGATGGGTTGGGTGGCCAAAACCACGCCCGGCCGCCTTTGTCTCCCCAGTGGCGATGTTTACACATCGCACCAGGTACTCATTTGATGGGAGGCCCAGGACCGGTTCAGATAAACGTCACTGGTGTTGGCCGTGAGCGGGAATCAAACCCGGTTCGCAAGGTTCGTAGCGCAGCGCCCTGACCGCCACACATGCAGACACACTCATACCCACACACACACGCGCTCTGCACCGTGTCATTAGGCACCGGACCGCCCAGCGCACTCAAATATCGAGCAAAAAGTGATGAACGGAGAATAACTCTGGGCAAGGTGTTCGTTTGATGCGCCACACTCTGTGCTGAGCATGCGAGGCTCGTGGCATTTTCTCAAAGGGGAACAAAATTACAGCTCGGCAGCGATGCAGCGCGCGGAGCTGAGCAGAAGAAGAAGAAAAAACCGAGAAAATAACGAACTGCATTCTCTCACGGCGTGAGTTATGGGCGCCCATAATTGCGGCACGTTAACGTCCCAGGGACCCGTGCGTCACGAGGTTTGAAACAGAGCCCGTCGTGCACGTCGTGACATCACGTGTGTGCCAGCGGGGGTGACGGCGCGGGGGGCGGGGGGTGAAAGGGTGTGGTGTTTGCTGTACAATCGTGGGTCGTGGGTGATCATAGTAACATCATCCCATCAGCACGATCGACATCATCCCAGCAGCACCATCAACATCATCACTGCAACACCATCTCAGCAACACCATCAAAATCATCCCAGCAGCACCATCGACATTATCCCAGCAGCACCATCAACATCATCACCGCAACACCATCTCAACAACACCATCAAAATCATCCCAGCAGCACCATCGACATTATCCCAGCAGCACCATCAACATCATCACCGCAACACCATCAACATCATCACCGCAACACCATCTCAGCAACACCATCGAAATCATCCCAGCAGCACCATCGACATCATCCCAGCAGCACCATCAACATCATCACCGCAGCACCATCAACATCATCACCGCAACACCATCAACATCATCACCGCAACACCATCTCAGCAACACCATCGAAATCATCCCAGCAGCACCATCGACATCATCACTGCAGCACCATTGACATCATCACCGCAACACCATCTCAGCAGCACCATCACAATCATCAGAGCAGGGTGGCGGCTGCCCAGCTTTCGAATGCAAGGCGCTCTTAGAGGAGGACAAATAGGCACTGACAGTAATGCACTTAAGACGTCAGCTTTGTTTTACTCGGGCGCATTTCTGCGCAGGAATGTGTCAGTAAATCAAATCCGAGCTGCGCTGCTCGTGGCCGAAGAGAGGCAGGAACGCCTAGAGACGCATGCACGGCCCAGGAGCACGGGGCTAACATTGACACAGCGTGGTGCGGACGCGTGTGAGTGTATAGCTGTGTGTGTGTGTGGCTCTGTGTGTGTGTATCTGTGTGTAGTTGTGTGTGTGATCTGTGTGTGTTTGTGGGGAGCGGTAGTGTAGCGGTTAGCGCGCTGCGCTATGAACCTGGCGACCCTGGTTCGATTCCCACTCACGGCCAACACCAGTGACGATGATCTGAATCGATCCCGGGCCTCTCCTAGGTCGACTCAGCCTCAAACGAGTACCTGGTGGTGTGTGTAAACATCGCCACTAGGGAGACAAAGGCGATCGGGCGTGGTGTTGGCCACCCACCGCCTTCGTGTACCGTTGCGGCCTTCCTGGGTGCTCGCTAACAGCACTTGCCCCTAATAGCATTAGTGGCGGGTGGCGGGTGGGGTATATTTGGCGTGTAAGTGTGACTTGTTAATATGTATGCGTGCGTGCGTGCGTCAGTGTGAACTTTCGTAAAAGCGTGACCGTGTGCGCTTGCTTAGGACCGCGTGTGAACGTGGTCGGAGTGCGCGTGCACGTGCACGCGAGTGAGGCTTTACGGGGGGGGGGCCTTTTGTCTTTGTGTGCACAGAGCACACCGCGTGTTGTGCCGTGACACGTGCTTGGTAATTACCCCGCGCGGGTATAATTTGTTGGTGCAGGCCACTGACTAACCCCCCCCCCCCCCCCCCCCATGTAAGAGCCATGAACCACGCCGTCGTCAGTCATTGCCTCGGCTCTCTTGTTCCCTCAAGCAGCAGCAGCAGCAGCATTCCTCCGTGACATTGTTTTATGTAACTCGCAGCCTGCACACGTGTTGACATATTAAGCATGCTCTGTTAAATGTCAATAAAATAACTTACAGATTCAGTTACACCATACGCAGGGATATTTATAGATTTAATTACACTACTTCTCTCCACGCGAGTCTGCATGCGGTACACGAGGTAGACGGTACGTGTACACTTTGGTTCTTGCGGTAAAGTCACGTAGGTAGAAAAATAAAATTAAATGAAAAATAAATTATCACGACGGTTCGATCGCAACACAAGCGCTATGTGACTTTACCGAAAGAACCACAGAGTGTGGATTCCTGCAGTCACAAAAGCTTCAAATCAAGATTGAACAGTACGAATGTTCAGCGTGCAATGTTTGTTTACTACCTGCGTGCGTCAACGTGGTAGGCGATGAGCTCAAAGCACTCTTTAGCTCAGTTTAGTAGCGTGCATGAAATATCTCACCGTCATCTATTTGTGTTCGTCAGCATGGTGGAGAATGGTCAAATGATCCCCCATAATCGGCTCGGCGTGGGGAGGCCCTCGTCCAGTAGCGGAACCGCCGGAAGTGCTTATTTCACGGTAAAGTGCTGATTGTTACTGGCTGTGAATGGAGGAAACGTCCCATTTCCAGTCCGTCAAAAATCGATTTATTCCATTGTGCCCGGTTCGCTTGCAGGTTACGTTCTATTTGAATACGGTAATATAAACGTGTTTCTAGGTCCCAGGCACAATCGTCGTTGGGCGAGTAAAGTTACTGAGCGTGGCAGCCCAAGGAGAGGATGTAGCTGGAGCAATGAGGTTCGATCCGGGGCTGCCAGATTGCTGGGTGATGTGTTGCATCGCGCCAGGGGAAGAGACGGGTACTTGTTACCATTATGGAGCAGCATGGCTTTGAGACTCCTGGATGAGCTGTCAACGAAGAGGCGCCACTCATTTTGGTTACAGGCGATTCCGATTTCCTCGAACAGACTGGTCACATTCTGGCAGAAGCAGAGCCCATCTTGACGGGTGAATAAGCTGCAAAAAGGTTGGTGACGCTTTCCTCTGATCTGCGACTTGCATACTTTTATCAAACAAGTTCCACTGCTTGAGCCTAGACGTCAAAAGCTCAGAATTGGACTTGGTGAGATCAAGATCTCTGATAAAGTCGTTGAGGTTCTTTTGGTTGGGGTCGTATGGGTTTCTCTCCTCAGCTCCACCTCTGAAATTGTCATCTGGATCTACAACGTCTTCCTCGCTCTCTGACTTGCTGTCTCTAAAGACGGCTGCTCTCTCTCCAGAGGAGTGTGTACGGGGAGCTCATGGCAGTGTGGCACCGGGGCGATAGATGAAAGAAGGTCCGGATACGTGATAGCAGGTGTATTATTGCCAGTCCGACGTTTGGAAAGGTCCACCATGCAGAAGTAGCAGTTGCTTGAGTGGTCAGTGGGTTCCCGCCAAATTCTTGGGATAACCAACTTCATGGCTCTCTTTTCCCCTCTGTACCATCCTACAAAATTACATTTATTTCCCCCATGACTAATGTGTAAGAGATTATTGCAATATTTTTCATCTATGATATATCTTTTCAATAACATTGACAATTGTAAAACATTTAAAATGAAAAAAAAACTTTTACAATTTTTTTAAAACAAAGTTTATAACATAAAATTCCGAGCAACAATTGTCCATCTTACCTTCCAGAGTTTTTTTTGCATTGCTCGCAGGTGAAATGAGGTGCCCAGGGTTTGTCTTGATCCCCAACAGGCATGCCGAAATATGCCTTGTAGGCCTCACACATCTTAGCAGATGCTTCCACAGAGTACTTTTTCGCTCTTGTCTTGATAAATTGGCCGCAGACATAGCAAAATGTGTCTGCCGGATGCTTGCAGCCTCTTGATGCCATCTCAGAAAAATGCAGATATGTATCCACTTAGGCAGCTGGAACTAAACTGAACTGGTGGGCTGAAGGCCCTTGTATTTATGCTACTATTTATATTACTGGAAAGTTCTAGAATGTTCTAGAAGTTACTCCAAGTTTACTCAGCACTGAATCTATCTGGAATGTTCTGGGAAATAGGTAAATTTCAAAATATCACTGTCCTGATCACAGAAGCAAAGTTTGTGGGGAATAATAGCCATTATCTGTACTTTTGAGGCACAAGCAATTAGGAAATAGCACTTAATACCCAGGAATAAAAAAAACGTGTTACACAGGGCTATCAAAATGTCCGGACTTGCACCTTGTTAATACGCTCACTGCTCATTAGCGGATCACCACCACCGCAGAGTGAAAGACTGTAATGAGCAATGCAATTACACGGACCGCATGATACACGGCGTTTGGTGGGGAGGTGGTGGTTACGGGATAATGAAGGATCAGCATGACGTAGATTGACTCTACTGTAACAAAACTAAATGGTGCTTCACCGTGTCCGTTAATAAGTTACCAAGCCTGCAGTTTAGGGCACTGGCTATGCATGCCCAGAGCGCACGCACGAGTGGCAGGTACTACTGTACGTGGTCAATGTGTGTGTGTGTGTGCAATACCACACACGACGTGGCGGGGAGCGGTGGCGCACTGGTTAGCACAGTGCGCTGTCAACTCGGGTTCGATTCCTAACCGCGGATAACATCAGTGGCGAGTGATAACTGAACCGGTCCAGGCCCCCCCCTCCCACCCAATCCATACATCGACTTAGCCTTAAACGAGTGTCTTGGTGAGTGTGTAAACATGCGCACTGGGGGAAATGGCTGGCCGCGTGTGGTGAAGGCCCCAACAATCTGTTATGCTTTGTGCATCATATCACACTCTGTCATCATCATCATCATCGTCATCGTCGTTAGCCATGGTCAATGCACTGCTGGACGAAGGCATCTACAATCCGCCGGTATTTCACATGGTCCCGGGATGTAATAATCCACCGAGCACCTGTACACGAGCTGATTTCATCGATCCATCGCCCCGGTGGACGTGCCTCCTATCATCCGTTCCTCGGTTGCCACTCAGTTCATCGTGATTGACCATCTGCCATCATCCCTCCTCCCTTCTCGCGACCGCCGCATCCATGGATTTGTGATATTTTCACACAAACATCGCGCGCTCATTCTGCTCGCTGCTACCACTCTACCCGACCGACCGCGTGTGCGATCTGCGTGCTGCTCACGCGGAATGTTCACGTTGTGGGACAACTTCCACGCGAATTGAGGGCTAACGCGCTTAGACTGTGCGCAACAATTATAATTACTATTCTTAGTGCTGCGCGCGATTGACCCCGAACTGCAAACACCGTGTAATTAAGCTTGAATTGGCCGTAATTTAAGAAGCGTGGCTTTCACAAAGCGTTCACTTCTTCGCTTCGTCCACTCAGCACCTGCAACAAGATCCGATCTCATCGCTTAAGATAAGTAGTGGGCTTGTGCAGGAGACGTCAATATAACGGATGATGGCCAGTGGGCAGGAATAGCTCATGCGTGGCAGCCAAGGCAGGGTAATCGTACAAGAGTTGCATTCGCGTATATAATGCAAGTTGAAGCCGAAACACCATTAGTGCGTATTCCTGTTGGTGTTCGCGTGTCATTTCGTGCAAATTCCACATTACCGTGACAGGGTCAAGTTCGTTAAAAAATACACAACCTCCGTTCACTTGCCACAAGCTATCACCGTGGCACGGTGCTCATCTACGCGGGTGGGCCACCCTGCAGGAGGAGGGGGCAGTCATCTTGTTGTGGAAATTCCACATTCCTATGGCGGGCCGAGGTGTGTGGGAGCGGCGAGCACCGCACGCCACGCGCGCGTGCACACGAGCGCGTGGAGGAGGAGGAGGAGGAGAAGGACCGGGTCTCGTTCTTTCTGCTCGCTCGCTCGCTCTCTCACTGCGCTAATCTTCCCCGGGACAATAGCGGCAGTGTGGTCGCCTCCACCACCGGGTATTTGTGATACGCTCCACGGTCTGGCGGCGGAGGGGAGGGGGGCGCACGGGACAGGCGAGGAATCCCAGGTATTCGCGAGGGGATCTATCGGTCGGACTGTGTCAGGTCGGTGCGCGTCTCGGCAGCACGAGAGCGAAGCGTTCTCGTATGGGGCGAGAGGGGGGGGGGTGACAAGGAGCCACCCCTCCACCCCTCCCCTCCTCCACCCTCCACCCCTCCCCTCCTCCACCCCTCCCCTCCTCCACCCCTCCCCTCCTCCACCCCTCCACTCCTCCACCCTCCACCCCTCCCCTCCACCCCTTCCCTACACCCTCCACCCCTCCCCTCCACCCCTCCCCTCCACCCCTCCTCTTCATCCTCCCCTCCCCTCCACCCCCCCCTTCACCCCCCCTCCCCTTTCCCCCTCCCCTCTACCCCACCCCTCCCCTCCACCCCTCCCCTCCACCCTTCCCTACACCCCTCCACCCCTCCCCTCCACCCCTTCACCCACCCCTCCCCTTTCCCCTCCCTCCACCCCACCCCTCCCCTCCACCCCTCCCTCCACCCTCCCCTTCACCCACCCCTCCCCTTTCCCCCTCCCCTCTACCCCACCTCTCCCCTCCACCCCTCCCCTCCACCCTTCCCTACATCCCTCCACCCCTCCCCTCCACCCCTTCACCCACCCCTCCCCTTTCCCCCTCCCCTCCACCCCTCCCCTCCACCCCCCTTTCCCCCTCCCCTCCACCCCACCCCTCCCCTCCACCCCCCTTTCCCCCTCCCCTCCACCCTCTCCTCCCCACGTGGCGGTTCAACGAGTTGTCGCGATTCAAGTGCGCAATCGATTTCTTCATCTTTACATCGCAGTGCATGTAGCGGTCTCTCGTGGCTAGATATTAAACGATTTATTTTGGTGATGTCGCTTACGTTGGCAGTGGCGCATAAGCACAATGAACACACACAAAACGCAACATGTTCGTTAATAACACTGTGGAATTAAAAGGAGATATAAAAAAATAGGTGACGTTTCGGGGCGAGCACCTATATGGGCCAGCACTACGTCCGGTCGCCTTTGTCTTCCCAGTGGCGATGTTTACACACCACACCAGGTACTCGTTTGACGGCTGAGTCGACCTAGGGGAGGCCCAGGACTGGGTCAGATAATAATCTCTGGTGTTTACCGTGAGCGGGAATCGAACTCGGGTCGCCGGGTTTGTAGCGCAGCGCGCTAACCGCTCTTCCTGCACTTTTAAATCTCGATTGAAAACGAATATCTTGAGAACTACATGTTTGTATTGAGGTTGTTGTCCTTCCCCAGCACCTGCGATTAACGCGGCTGGCTACGAACTGTGCGAACGAAGTTCAAGAGACACGCATCATACATCCTCAAACCAAGGCTCCTCAACTCCGATGCACGTGCTGCTGGGTCATTGCTCCTATTCGGCAAAACACGTGCAGATCCATGTCCTCACCGCCCACGCGGGAACAAACCAGCAAGGATGCCCATTGTAGCGCGTGTCAGCCGTTTTGCCAAGCTGTGAACCTGCCACCCGCCACTCCTCCACCCCCATACGTTTGATGAGGCTGTTAAGAACAAAACTTTTGAGGCCAGCTGTCAACTGTGCAAACACCTGTGCGATCTGGCAAAAGGAAGGCAGCGATGGCGAGGTTGTGCTAGAATTAACGGCTAGACACAGGTGAACTTGTAAAAAAATAAAACAGTGTTTTGAGACCCACTGAGGCTTTGCACATGCGCAGGACACGCGCCGAGTCAAAGTTGTTTCCACTCCGCGGCCGTTCACATCTGTGCAGTGCGAGTACATCGGAACGAACACGCGACCGAGATGATCACCACTGCTCATATCTAAAAGGGATGAGATCAGTTCACGTGCAGCAGCGAGGTGGATTTTTGGCATTGTAGGACCCTTGAGGGTTATCGACGGCGTGGAGAGGCCTCCATCCAGCAGTGGAGAGACCACGACTCGCGACCATGATGCCTTTACGGGGAAAGCATTCGTCTAGCAGCGGATCGACTACATCTCATCATTATGACCGCGGGTCACTCACCTTCTTGACTATCGTCATTATGACCCCATAATGCCGATAGTCAATAAGGCGAGTGGATGAGAGAGCGAGAGGCACGGCGCTCACAGGCGTGCGGCAACACGCCTCAGAGACCATGGGGGGGGGAGGGGGGGGAGCCGGGGGGGAAGGCAGGGGGAGCACCGGGGAGCCGGTGGAGAGAGCGAGAGCCAATGGGAGTCGCGGGGAGCCAGGGGGAGAGAGAGAGGGGCGAGCGAGCGGAAGAGAGTGGAGGAGGAGGGGGGGGGGTATCGTGAGCGAGAGTGTAGGGGGGGCGACTCCCTGCCTCCTGCGTTGGGGGAGTGAGCGAGGCGACGGGACCTGCGTGGGCTTTAGCATTGTGACGGACTGCGCGGTGGGAGGGAAGGAGAGGGTGGAGGGTTAGAGTCGGGGGGGGGGGGCTGTTAAGGAAGGTAGGCGGTTGTAGTGGGTGGTGGGGGGGGGCATTTAGGAGTTTCTTTGAGACACCGCGGTTGGAGGGAAAGGAGAAGACTGGGGGGCGGAGGGGGGGCTGCTTGCGGTGTCCGTGGGGGAGTGGACCAGTGGATGAAGCGGGGTGGTGGACGGAGTCGAGAGCGAGAGAGGAGCGGGGATGCATGTCCACAGGGAGGGAGGGAGGTGTGGAGGGAGGATTGGGGGGGAGGTGGTAGTGGACGGATGAGGTGGGGTGGGTGGGTGGTGTATTGCTTTCTCTGGCCCTGACGTCACCGCAGAAAAGGCAGACAGATCCTCGGATCGCGGGGCCGAGCCGCGCAAATGGGCGACGAGGAGGAGGAGGAGGCGCGCGCCGTCTCCCGGGGCTCGCTCGCTGCGCTCGTGCGCCACCTCGGCACGCCGCGTCCCCGTGACCGTCCCGCGTGACCGTCCCGCGTGACTCGTCCCGCGTGCGCGCGGCGCAGAGGATCGTCCGCTCGAGTCCACACGGAGCTCCAGGAGCGCTGAGTCCTCTCTCGGATAACAGAAGGCGGCGGCTGGCGGGGGGGGGGGGGTGTCCAGGGGGAGGTGGGGCAAGGGGGAACGCGGCTCGTTTGAGCCCCTCTCGCGAGGTGGGAGGAGGAGGAGGGGGGCGCTCGGCGGGAAGGGGGCTCAGTGCTTCCTCCCGCTTCGCCCTGCGGGAGGAGGGATGGCGGTGACCCGGGTGCCGTGTCTGGTGCTCGCGATGGCCATGGCGCTCGCCGCGCGAGGGTAAGAGATGCGGGAGAGGTACGCGATGGGGGGGGGGGGGGGGAGGAAGGTGTACAGGTGAGGGGGGGTGAGGAAGGTGTACAGGTGCGCGATGTGGGTGAGGAAGGTTTACAGGTGCGCGATGGGGGTGAGGAAGGTGTACAGGTGAGCGATGGGGTGAGGAAGGTGTACAGGTGAGCGATGGGGTGAGGAAGGTGTACAGGTGAGCGATGCGGTGAGGAAGGTGTACAGGTGAGCGATGGGGTGAGGAAGGTGTACAGGTGCGCGATGGGGGTGAGGAAGGTGTACAGGTGCGCGGACACGTGGGACTGTCTCTGCTAGGTGAAGACCTCGGGCTTGGCTAACATTCTGCTGCTGCTGCTGCGTGGTGGTCATATTCAGGAGAATGGATTTGCGGATCTATCTGTGCGAGGCTTTGCGTTTATTAGCTCCTAGTTCTGGTGTGGTGGTGGTGGTGGTGTTTTTTTTTCCTTCCGGACACGAACTCCGCTTTGTCCCCATACGAGGCCGTGGAATTGACCGAACGAATCAATGCCAGGACCGTCCCGAGTGTTGAGACTCAGCGAGGCTTTTCTGCACAAATAGAAGGCATTGTTCGGATTGTTCTGTGCATGTGCCTGCTCGCTCCACGTCCCCCCCCCCCCCCGCATTGTTCTGCAAAAAGCACCCGTTTTGTTGTATGTTGACGCCGCTGTAAGAGACGGGGGAAAAAGGAAACGCGCGCTTCGGAGCCAGCGAGTCTACTGCGTTCACGTGGCGGACGTCGGGCTTAGCGATGGCACAGACAACTGTTGGCATAACTGCGAAGTGGTACTCCGTTGTGTAGCCCCGGCGAGTGTGATGGGCCGGGTCGAATTCTCTGGCTAACGAAGCACCCGTTTGGTCACACTCGCGCTCTCACACAGATGCGTGCTGCTCGCCGCGGGTAATGCCGAATGATGTCGCGTCGGGTCGTATACCGCAGCTGCAAATGTTGAAGTGCGTTTGGGAAAGGGGCGACACGAAGAAGAGCAGGTGACAAGGAAGACGACGCCTGTTCATGTTTCCTTCTTGGGCGACTTCTGGTCTCGATGGGCCTCTCACCTGACTTTAACGAAAGGTCACCCCGTCTGTCTGTCCCCAATGATCTAAGGCGACTTCTCGAGTTTAATCGCCGCCGCCGTCTGTTGCCGTCACGTGTGCTCGCATTGCCATTGCGCGCATTGTGGAATCGTTCGGACAGTAGTTGAGCCTTGGCGATGCGATTCATTTGCTGCGGTTGTTATTTTTGGGGGGGGGGTAGAGGACACATCTAAGGGGGCCGTGTTTTGCTCGGGGAGCGCGGCTTTCCCTCCGACGTTGGTCGAACGCGCTGCCGTCGCTCTGTGCGCGGGGAAGCGCTTCGAGGAGACCGCGTCGTTTCGGTCGTTTCGCCAAGATGCGCCAAGATGCGCTTCGGCTTTCAGCAAAGGCGTGCGACGTGCCTCATTACGCAGGGTCCGATTGACACCTCAACGAGAGAGCTCGCCTCGCTGCCAGTTCTGTCTGAAGTGTCCGGATGCGTCTGTCGCCGAAGGGAGCGATGCGTTTCGGCCGTTCCGTCGGCGCGCGCGCAAACCTCACGATCCCTTGTTGCGCGCAGACGCTTGGTTCAAAAGCTACAGCCGCTGTTGAATTATCGCCCCCCGCCTCCCCTTTGATGTACAGATGTTAGCAGTCTAGAACGCGTGTCAGTATCGCCTCGTTAGTAGCCTACGCTCATGATAATGTGTTTGACAGATTGTCAGAATCACAGCCTATAATTGTCAATTACGAACTGATAAAGACCACGCATTTCGGTCACAGTGCGGGTTGGTGAAGGTGGGTAGGGTAGATGGAGGGAGGGGGGGCGTTGTGGGTGCGAGTGGGGGGGGTCTTAATATCGGTGACCCCCTGTGAGCCATAGCCGTGAAGCGAACTCGGGTGACCGCGTGCGTAGCGCAAGAGTGTGCTAACCACGGCGCCACCGCTCCACCGCCAAGACTTAACGATGAAGTGAGAACTGCTCGAATGCGCGTTACTCGGCAATGAAGGCGGCCTTTAATGAATGTTGAATGCCCGCCCGCTGCGGGGATTGGAGATCGCGTGGATACTGTGGGGCAGTAAGGGTGGCGCAGTGGTTAGCGCATTGCGCTATGAGCTCGCATTGCTGGCCACCGCTCGCGGACACGCGAGTGGTGTTTGAATCTATCCCCGGCATCCCCTCCACCAACCCTCAAGTATTGCGAAACAATCCCGGCGTGTGGCGTGGGGGGGGGGGGGCTTCACTAAGCAGTGGATTGACAAAGGGCTGCACATTTGTATAAGCAGAGCTGCCAGCTGAGCCGGCTACCGCAGACAGGCACGGTTCGATTCCCGCTGCCAGGACCACCCGATGCCTCTTTAGACTTTCCAAAGGGCGCTTGCCTGCTCTAAAGTAGGCGTTAGAGACTCGGTGACGAAATTGTCAGGAGCATATTCGTGTTTGTCGGTGTCGTGGCCTCAACTTTTAAGACTTGCATTTTCTTTGTTGGACCACATCACGTTGAATGCGCCCGATCTCGGAAGTTACGCTGAATCGAGTCCGATTAGTAGTCGGATGGAAGACTGCCTGGGAATAAAAGCTGTTGCAGACTTCGACCGCGAAGTTGCCAGAAGATGGCAGTAACCGCAATGGATTCTTGAATCTATCCGTGCAAAGCTCCGACGGGTACTCCCCTCTTAAGCGTGGGCTTTCTCCGGTCAGTCCTGGTTTCCTGTCACGTGAAGGCCACTCGTCAACACGACTGGCGAAACATCGCAGTGCAGGGCCCTCTTCGAAAATAGTCCTGAGACTCAGTAGCAAGGCATTCCCGTGATAACTAAAGGCATTATTACGTCCTGCACGTGACGTGCTATGCATTACAGATGAATCATCGTGGATGGGGGGGGGCAGCCTCCACTCGGATACAATAACACCCAAGGAGCTCTCGCCTGGTTCAATAAAGGACACGCAGAGACAAAGGTGAAGCCCTGAAAGACTCACCGACGCCACTGGTGGCGGAAGGGGTCTCTTAGATAGCTCCCCTCTAAACGGTACTTGGCCTACTCTTCCATGCTGGCCAGAAGGTCTTGGCAGAGGCGGGAGTCTCCACACTTTAGCCCACCACACAATTAACTAACTGCGGTGCACATATACAATTGATACTACCGGGTGTGCAGAGGTGGCACGTGTTGGGGGTGGAATTTAAGCAACATGGACATCGTTTTAACTGCCGCGCAGGAAGATGGAACTGAACCGGTGATCTTTGGATTGCAAGTCACGTGTGCTCACAATCAAGGCTGTTTGTGGATAATTAGGAACAGCACCAACCGGACTGGAGTTATTGGCATGAATTAAGTCATTATCTTTTTTGTAAGCGAGCTACTTATTACGTATTTAAAATTGTGCAGTGTGCTAAGTGGGACTCTTTCATCTGTGATGTGTCACTCCATCAATCATTAACCCGTTCTTCGACCGCGAAACGTAACGGCGATGAGCTCGGTCTCTCGATCTTTCAGGATCGGAGATTGTGGCACGCAGACTCCTTTACGTCACCCTTTTCTGTTGTTCAAAAACAGAAAATGAAAATAGTTTTTAATCTCTGCGAAATCTGTTCGGCTTTATGAAACGTACATTGGACGTGACCCAAGTAGAGGATGCTGGAGGAAGTGCGATTCGTGTTCGTGGAAGGCAAGGCTGTATGTTTTTTTTTTGTTTAACGTTGATGCATGACTAAGTCTAATCCTGTGCAAACCAAACTTGCTCAACATGACCACAATATTCTACAGGTGCTGTCTTGCGGATTGGCTCGCCCCCATCCCAGGAATGTGGAATTTCCACCAATGACTCGCGGCTAGAAGCGAGCGTTAAGCGCGGTCCCACGCTCTTTCGAGCTGGACACCCACCACATGTTTGCCTTTTTTCAGTGGAAATGATAAAGATGTTTTTCGATTTTTTTTTTTACTGGATAAAATGTTGTTCTCGCAGCTTCATGAGTACGTCTACCGTAGAAGCGACGGTCTCCAGCACAACTATTGAGCGCTTCATGCTCATGGGGGTGGAGCGGTGGCACAGTGATGATTACATTTCGATAGAATTCATCGAGCAGCGGATAGATCATGGCCGAAGGGGAAGTTTTTACGATGAAATTGAATGATAAGATACCGAACTTTCCTCCGCGGTTGCGCTTTTTTTTATTTATCGTCACGCACACACAGAGGTGTAGCGTTTTTTTTTTATTAATTCCCCAAAGCCGCTCCCCTCTTAAGTCTGAACGAGGAATTTCCACCGGATCCCGAGAAAGGCGGTGAAGAATCGGCGGGGCAAGAGAGTCACCCAAGGCGGTGGGCATTCCACCAGCGCGGTATTGGCTTGAGCGCCGTAAATTCCCCTGTGAGCGCCGAATAATAACAAGCGGTTTTTATCACGGGACAAATCTACAGCGGTGCGTGAAGGTGACGCAGAAAAAAAAAATGTGCATTCCTGAATGGGAGATATACAGACAGGCAGAGAGAGAGAGAGGAGAGAGCGAGATGATGGACCGACGTGCTCTAAGATGTCTCTGGGAGGAATGCACGCGAAGTGAAATTTACAGCGCGCGAGTCCGCGACAGGTGCCGAGCAGGTAACAGCGAGAGGAATGGACGCCTCGACCACGTCCGTGACGTTCGTGCTTCTGCGGGTGTCCGTGATTGCGCGTAATGAAAATGATGCGCGGGACATTGATAGAGTGTATATCCACACCACTATCGATCTACTGATGGATGAAGGCCTTTCCACACTGTAACCGGTCGTGGAAATAGTATAACCATGCTTCGCCACCCTGGTCAATGTGAGTCGATGATGGGCTTGGGGCTTTCAGAAATCGCCGCTGATGTTAGGCCGTGGCCGGGAATAGAACTCAGGCCGCTGGTACTGCTCAATATCTCTTCGTCGCGGGAAATCATCACCATCATCATCACCATCATCATCATCACCGCCACCAAGAAATGCGTCTTCTTGAATGCCGCGCGTCAACACGGGGAGTGATGCCTCGATCTCAGACGAAGTCTTTCAAAGAAATGAATTCGCCGATAAGACGTGGGGCAGTTTCGCACCTGCTCGGACTCACCGGCGAGCAATTCCCGGCCGGGTGTTGCTCACCGAGGAGAGATCCTGGTGCGGTGTGCGTCCCCGACTCCGTAGCGTGACCTCGTCGGAAGGGGGGGAGGGGGAGTGGTTGGGAGGGCAATACAAACACTCAGAGGGACCACTGCACAATCAACGTTAAAAACACATCTTTAAACGAATGTTAAACATTCTAGATTTGAAGCTTTCGTGACTGCAAGTATTCATATTCTTAGGTTTTTTCGGTAAAGTCACGTAGGTAGAAAATTCAAATTAATAAAAGTAAAATAAAATAAAAAATAAAAATCTCGACGTTTCGGAGGCAACGTCGTGATTTTTTTTTATTTTACTTTTATCAATTTAAAATTTTTACCTACGTGACTTTACCGAAAAAACCCTAAGAATATGAATGTTAAACACTGACCTGATACTAGGAGGGGGTGAGGGAACTGGGTGAGGGGGGCGAGGCTCGGAAACCCGCGCAGAGAAACACGACTCGCGCCAGCCTGGTTCTCATTAGAGCGGCCATTAGTCCGCGACCTCCCTCTTCTCTCATAGGCAGCAGATTTACTTACAGACCTCGTGCGCGTGTGGGGGTGCGTGTTTGTCTTTGTGCGCGCGCGTGTGTGTGTGTGTCAATGGGGAGCGGTAGTGTAACGTTTAATGCGCTGCTCTGCGAACCTGGCGACCCCAATTCGATTCCCGCTCACGGCCGATATCGGTGACGAATGTTTGAACCACTCACTGGCTTGCCTGAGGTCGACTCAGCCTCAAATGAGTACCTGGTGCTGGGTGTGAACATCAGCTCTGGGGAGACAAAGGCGACCGGACACACCATCCCCGAATAGGTGATCGCTAACAGCACCTGCCCCAACAGCCTCGTGTAGGTTACACGCAGTTGGAGGCAGTCGCCCTCCAGCAACAACAAAAAGGGCAGAGGAGCGACGCTCACAACAACGAGCAGAGCGCCGGACGGCTAAACCGCAGAAACTTGACACAGTTGGGGGCACAGCTGGTGAATCTGCCAGTCATCTCAGTCAGTCATCCCACGGCACCTGGGTCTGTTCCGTGACCTCCTGCCAGCGGTCCTTCAACACTTCACGTGGCCTCAAAGTGCACCTAGCATGGCACAAGCACCGTGGGGATGTCACCGCCACTTAGTCGGTGAACGGCGGTTGTTATTGCTGTTGCTGCTGCTGCGTGTTTACTCCTGCCTCTATGTTCACGTGTGTGCGTATGTGTGCGTGCTTGCGCCCCGTGTCTGTGTGCGTGCTCGTGTACATGGCTTCCACCTCTCCGGCTGGACCGAACCAACAACTTCCAACCACCACCACCCACCAACAAACAAACAAACGACAACAAATTCCAGGGCGCTCACAAACGACATCCTCGGACTCAAGCTGCCCCCGGAGCCCGTGCTGAACGCCAACACCGTGTGCCTGACCCTCGCGGGACTGAGCCGGCGGCAGCTGGAGCTCTGCATGCGCAGTCCAGACGTGGCCGCGTCCGCCGTGCAGGGAGTGCAGATCGCCATCCACGAGTGCCAGCACCAGATGCGCAACCACCGCTGGAACTGCTCTTCGCTCGAGACCAAGAACAAGCTGCCCTACGGCAACACCATGCTCACGCGAGGCAAGTCCACCACCCCCACCACCACCACCACCCCAGGGCGTGCGTGGTGTGTGTGTGTGTGAGTGGTGTGTGTGTGTGCGTGAGTGTTGTGTGTGTGTGTGCGTGAGTGTTGTGTGGGTGCGCGTGAGTGGTGTGTGTGTGGGTGCAGTGGTGTGTGTGTGTGCGTGAGTGGTGTGTGTGTGTGCACGTAAGTGGTGTGTGTGGGAGCAGTGGTGTGTGTGTGCGCTTGAGTGGTGTGTGGGTGCGCGTGCAGTGGTGTGTGGTGTGTGCGTGGTGTGTGCGTGAGTGGTGTGTGTGTGTGTGGGTGAGTGGTGTGTGTGTGCGCGTGCCGTGGTATGTGTGCGCGTGCGTGGTGTGAGTGCGTGAGTGGTGTGTGTGGGTGCAGTGATGTGTGTATGCGCTTGAGTGGTGTGTGGGTGCGCGTGCAGTGGTGTGTGGTGTGTGCGAGTGGTATGTGTGCGCGTGAGTGGTGTGTGTGTGCGCTTGAGTGTTGTGTGGGTGCGCGTAAGTGGTGTGTGTGGGTGCAGTGATGTGTGTGTGCGCTTGAGTGGTGTGTGGGTGCGCGTGCAGTGGTGTGTGGTGTGTGCGAGTGGTATGTGTGCGCGTGAGTGGTGTGTGTGTGCGCTTGAGTGGTGTGTGGGTGCGCGTAAGTGGTGTGTGTGGGTGCAGTGGTGTGTGTGTGCGCGTGAGTGGTGTGTGTGTGCGCGTGCGCGTGTTGTTGATTTGTCACGGCTCGCACTGCCTGCACTTTCTTGCGCGGGGACACACGGCCCCCGGGTCGGGAGGATGGCGTTGGGGCGAGGCGTCATTTTGGCACGCAGGGGACGCGGCTCAACGCTGGTTGGTATGCGGGTGACGTCATCGCGCAGATGCGCTCATCCCACGCGGCAGCCAGTGAGGATTCCTAGCCAGCCAGCAAAACTTTATTTTTTGTGTCCTTCGGTAAAGTCACGTAGATAGGTTCAAGGAAAATAACAAAAAACTACGACGTTTCGATTTATTTCTTTGTTTTCTTCCTGATGACGATCGCTTGTGTTGTGATCGAAACGTCGTAGTTTTTGGTTATTTTTGTTATTTTCTTTGAACATATCTACGTGACTTTACCGAAAGACCCAAAAAATATGAATTCCTGCAGTCACGAAAGCTTTAAGTCAAGATATATTGCGCTTGTTTACCCAGGAAAGCCTCATGTATATATTTTCAGGAGGGTCCTGCCAAGTTTTTTATAATAGGAGGGCGATGATTGCTGAGTAATTTCAGCTGTAATTAATATACTTTATATATATACTTATTATTCGAAAATCTTTCAAATTGCGCAAATTTGGACCGTGAGACGGCAATGACCTACTCTTGCACTTCCACTGTGAAGCAATCGAGCGTATTTTTGCGTGTGCTTAATACACCCTCAGTATTAACCTGGGCAGCCGCTGGATTCGAACCGCAAACGCGCTACCGCTAGTCCATTGTAAACGCCCGGCAATTTGGCGACTGTGCGTTTGTGTGTTGGTTCGTGCCGGCCTTCACCGATGCTCGTGACCAAGCACTTACCCGTACCGTGTGGGTTTGTATTTGTGGGCTCGCGAGGGTTGTGTGCGTGTCTGCGTGTATTTGTGTAGTGTCCAACTCCTCGTGCGCCGTGCCGGCCTTCGCCGGTGCTACTCGCTAACAGCACTTGCCCCCTGACAGTCTGTTAAGGCTACACGGGGGGATCTTTGTCTTTGTGTTGTGTAGTCGTGTAGCGGTGAGCGCGCTGCGCTAGGAGGCCCGAGTTCGCCTCCCGCAAACGCCCAACACCAATGACGAATTCATGAACTGGTCCTGGGCCAATTCAGCCTGGTGTGCAAACATCGCCACTGGGGGAGACAAAGGCGGTCGGGCGTGCGACTGGCCACCCACCCCCTCGTGTACCGTGCCGGTCTTCATAGGGTGCTCGCTGACAGCACTTGCCCCAACAGCCTGTTAAGACTATACGGGGGTCCTTTGTCTTTTGATGCGTGTGTGTATGGGCGTGTTTGTGTGGATATGGAGGCTTAAATGTGGATGTTTGTGTGCGTGTGTGTTTTGGTTTGCGAACTACGTGACTAACGCGGCGACGTTAGATACTGGAGCGGCTCGGACACAGCTAACATCAGCTGCAGATGAACGGGTGCGTGATGCGGCATGCACTGGAGATATAAAGACGGCCGGGTGTCGTGCTGTCCGCCAACAGCACCCACCCCAACAGTCTATGTCGGCTGTACGTGGGGTATTTGTGTTGGTATCGGTGTAAGCTGGTATGTGTTGCTGTCTGGTGGTGTGTGGGGAGCGGTAGTGTAGCGGTTAGCGCGCTGCGCTACGAACTCGGCCACCCGAGTTCGATTCCTGCTCACGGCTATCAACAGTGGCGATTTTATCTGAACCGAGCCTGGGGTTCCCCTCGGTCGACTCAGCCTCAAATGAGAACCTAGTGGCGATGTTGTGCTGGCTACGCACCTCCTCGTGTGTCGTACCGGCCTTCATAGGTGCTCGCTAACAGCACTTGCCCCAGCAGTCTGGTGAAGGCTACACGGGGTACTATGTTTGTGTATGTCGGTGTGTGGGTGTTCAGTGCGTACACGCTGACTTTTGCATGCAAATTCTCTCGTACGGTCACTCACTCGTGATCGCATTCTCTCGATCTCTCTCCTTCCCCCTCGGTCATCGTTGTTTCTCTTGCTCGCTCTCTTCAACTCTTTTATTCGGTTGTTTGAATTTAATTAAACACACGCAGACGCACGCAAAGCCAAACATCCTCCGTGTAACCTTAAACGACTTCGGGAAAGTGATGATAGCGGGTGTTTATGAAGGCCGGCATGTCAGCACCACGCCCGACCGCCTTTGTCTCCATCGTGGTGATGTTTTACACACAGCACCGGGTACTCATTTGAGGCTGATTCGACCGAGGTGCTCGTGAGCGGGAATCGAACTCGGGTTGCCGGGTTCGTAGCGCAGCGCGCTAACCACTGCGCCACCGCTCCCCACACACGCACACTTACACACTTGGGTCGCCGGGGTTCGTAGCGCAGCGCGCTAACCACTGCGCCACCGCTCCCCACACACACACACTTACACACTTGGATCACGGGGTTCATAGCGCAGCGCGCTAACCACTGTGCCACCGCTCCCCACACACACACACTTACACACTTGGGTCACTGGGTTCATAGCGCAGCGCGCTAACCACTGCGCCACCGCTCCCCCCACACACACACTTACACACTTGGGTCGCCGGGATTGTAGCGCAGCGCGCTAACCACTGCTCCACCGCTCCCCACACACACACACTTACACACTTGGGTCACGGGGTTCATAGCGCAGCGCGCTAACCACTGCGCCACCGCTCCCCACACACACACTCTTACACACTTGGGTCACGGGGTTCATAGCGCAGCGCGCTAACCACTGCGCCACCGCTCCCCACACACACACACTTACACACTTGGGTCACGGGGTTCATAGCGCAGCGCGCTAACCACTGCGCCACTGCTCCCCACACACACACTTACACACTTGGATCACGGGGTTCATAGCGCAGCGCGCTAACCACTGCGCCACCGCTCCCCACACACACTTACACACTTGGATCACGGAGTTCGTTGCGCAGCGCGCCAACCACTGCGCCACCGCTCCCGACACACACACACACACGCTGACACCGCCTCGCTCACGCGCCTAACGAGTCGCATTGCTCATCCGTCAAAGTCTCGCTCATGGGAGCCCGGGGGCCGTCGCCCCCGTCGAATTGTTTAACGCGCATTTCACACGCACGGCCCTCGGCTCCACCCCCAGCGAGGCTCACTCGCGAGTCCTGAGAGCGATCTACCCCCCCCTCCCCCGCGCGCCACACATCCCGCGGACAGGCGCGCGCTTCGCCGTTCAAGCCTCCGCCAGTGTCGCGAGTCGCGTGGTCTGTCGTGGTCATCCAGAACAGAGCGCACAACGTCTAACGAATTTTTCGATTTAAAGCTTTCGTCACTGCAGGGATTCATCTTCTTGGTTCTTTCGGTAAAGTCACGTAGAAGGGAAGTAATAAAATAATAAAAATAAAACAATAAAATAATTCTCACGACGTTTCGGCCACAACGCAAGCAGCCGTCCTCAGGCGAAGACCAGGTTTTGTCGGGGAGACGGCGTCTGAATGAAGAACGTCTAACGACGCGATGCTCTATCCTGACGCGGTTGTCTGGCTTTGGCCACCTGAATGGGAAATCGTCGTCGTTGCTCAGCAGCTGCACAGAGCCGTACGACAGAAGAACAATAATAATAATAAGAAGGAGTGTCGTGAGCGCTGTTTTGCGAGCACGAGTTAAGTGACGTTCGCGTGGCACGCGAGGTCGTGGCGTTGCCGTCTGCCCACAAAACGTCGACGTCGGCCCGCCTTTGTCTTCCCTTTGCCGATGTCCACACCAGTCGTCGTGGGGGTATTCGTGTTCATGCTGAGTCGACCTAGGATAGGCACGGATGGTGTTGCAAGATTAGACGGTGAAGAGATGAAGTCAGGACATCCAGGGGCCTTAGCGCAGTGTTACGCTGATCTATTTATTGGCCCAAACACACACAAGACAAACACAAAGAACCTCCGCACAGCCTCAACATACTTTTGGGGTAAGTGCTGTGAGCGAGCACTTATGAAGACCGGCACGGCACCCGAGGGGGTGGGTGGCCAGCACCACGCCCGGCCACATGTGTCTCGCAAGTAGCGATGTTTACACATCGCTCCAGGTACTCATTTGAGGCCACGTCGACCTAGGAGAGGCCCAGAGCCGGTTCAGATAATCGTCACTCGCGTTGGCCACAGTATATACTACAGACGGCAAGTGCATCTAACGCGGGCTGCCGGGCACACGAACACAAGGGGGTGGTGGTGTGGTCAGGACAACGCACCGGCTGCTTTTGACACCGCGCTAAGCGCTCATTTAAGGCTGAATCGACCTAGGAGAGACCCATGACCCGTTTCGGATATCACTCGCCGCCGATGATCG